AAAATGTTCATGTTTTCTATATGATGACCTCAGTTTTTTTCGAATTCTTAACAGTCCTTTGATTTTGGTCATAGAAGAAGTCTTATATAGAACGAACTTTCCTGCAGCTTTACTGCCCTCTAAAAAGGCTGTCAAGGTTCTTCCATGAAGAAGTCATAATGTATTGGAGCCCTGCTTGGATGCCGTAGAACTTTTGTGTAGATCACCATTTTAATGTTTTGCTTATCCATTTATAGGGTGGGGTGGGGGGTGTTTGTTCTATTTATTAGGTTTTATTGAATTTTCTGCAAGCCATCTAAAGTCTGGCTGAATTTAGCCAGACAGCTTGAGATGGCTAAAATCTAGCAATACAAATGTTTTAAATCTATCCATATACTACAATACTAAAACTCTTCTGTCTGTAACTTTTAACTGGGCAAAAGGTGCATCACAGGGTAAAACTTTTTCAAACAAGATGCTTCAAATGGGTTTACCAAATGTGCCCAAAATTCCGACTCCCGTGAAATTAAAATTTGGCTAAGTTTGTAAAACATTTTATGACATAAAATCATCATAATGATATTTAGTTTTCCCCAGATTTTGTTCTATTGTACTTTATTAATTTATTTGATTCTTGTTGTTAGTTTTTATTTTATTTTATTTTTTAATATAATATATATAATATATTTTACATTCTGCTAGCCATGAGTCGCCATGAACAAATAGGAGGCAATATAAATTCAATAAATAAATAATACAAAATATTTTAAAATATTTGCTGTGATCAATTCCTGATATTTGATTATGTTATATCTTCCTAAATTTTTAAGAACTATTCAAGTATATTAGAAGTTCTGCCATTGTTGTAGGTATTGAGCTATCTGGGAACAAAATTGTCTAGTAAATAAATAAAATCCAGAATAGGAAGAAACATTTTAAAACCTTTGAAATGTCTCAGAAACATTATTGAAAATTCCTTTTCCTTTACTATCCTCTGTTTCAACCAACTATTACATGGTTGCGTTAATTCCTGACTATATCTCCTAGTGGTGCCGTTTATTCATAGGAATCCCATTTAATTTACTTGGATACCTCAGTTTTACTTACTTAAAAATACATTTATATCTTTAACAGCAATTCAAAAACAGTTGAAGTGTTTTTTGGAAAAGAGAGAGGTTGTCAGTTCCTGTACTATAGTAATTTGGAAGCAGGGCTTACTTAGTTTTAATAGGATTCACTTCCAAGGAAGTTTTAATAGGATTCACTTCCAAGGAAGTATGGATTGGATATTGGTCCTTCAGTTCATTCATTACAATTTGGCTGTAACTTATCTTTTGTTACTTATGTACTTGGGATACAATGAAAATAAAATGTACAAAGATTTTGACACTCCTTATATTGTGTTTTACCCAACCATACCTATTGCAGGAAAACCTATATATGTGCTCAAAACCATCCATCAATTTATCTTTTGGGTTCTAGTTGCAATGATAATAACACAATCATATTTTCAAAGTATCTAAGTCATAAAGATTAGAAACACAATTTCAAGCCTACTACCCTTCTAAGAGTGCACAGGATTTATGCCAGCTTTGTGATATAATCATATGTACATCAATCAATAATTCAGTTCAATTTATTGAAGTCAAAGATACTAAATAAAATTTAAGTCAGAGTTAAAATACATTTGTAAAACAATAATATGTGAAACCCAGGATGCAGCCTATATTAAATTTTAATGTAAACACTAACATTATATTAAGTGTGATATATTTAAAATTACAACCAAGAATAGCTATCTATTAATATAACCGAAGTGGTAATATCTAACATTTAAACTAATTATAATTACAAGGGTCCTATGTACACATTTACCTGAAAATATCCCATAGAATTCAGTGGGAATTCAGAGTCCTGAATAAAAGAGAATGTTCAGGATTCATTAAGAGATCAATATGATACATCCAGACAGTTGGTTTAACGTGCTTTCTGCCACTTTATTAGGCTGCACAAAATTATGCTCGCATAATTTGTTCTCTCCAGATATTTTTTTTACCTCTGCCTCAGAAACGAGTTTCTAGATCTATGGGCCTCAGTCTTGTTCTCTTTGACACACTGTGCGCAAAAAAAAAGTTGATTCAGGGGAGTTTCACATGCAAGGTTACGTCAGTTACGTAATTTGTTTATATCTGTCTAGAGATCTTGCGCCTGTGTAGGTAAAGAGCTTTGCAATTAAGAATTTGGGCTTTTTCCCCCAGTTTCTTTAATACTTTTTCTTATTCTTTTTCTCTTCAATTCAAAGTTTGTATTGTTTGTATTCTGTTCTTTAATAAAGTTACATATTTAAACAAAAAACCCGTAGAATGTTATTTATTTGCCTTAATAGCCCATCCTAAAGTGGTAAGCAGGCATTTCCAGCATACTATACCCACAGTTGCCAATTGGCAAGCAACAGATGTCTTTGCTATCTCTTACTTCTAAAGAATTAAAAGACAGGTTCTTTGTTTCTTCTGCCATTTTATCATCACAGCAATATTTAAACATAGATTATACTGGCAGAAGATCAGTAGACAAGGTTACTCAGTGAGCTTCGCTCTGAGTGGAAGTTGTACATATGTTTCTCTGATCCAAATCCAACCTTTTAAATAGCCTTGCAAGTTTAAGATCAATAGAAACTTCACACACCACCACCCCAACTTCCTAGTACCCATTCATATTCTCCAGAGTAAACCCGTTTAGCAAAAGAATATCCAAGTCCTACCCAGAAATCTGCGGAAATAGTATTTGTATACATATTGGCTCCTCGGATGACCTCTTCATTCTGCCTCCATTACCTCCACATTCTCTAATCTAAGTATGGCCAAGCAAACGTTCCAAGAGGTTGTCATGCAGGTGTCACATTGCCACACCCCTTGCTCATCTGGTGGAAGAGGGAATGCTTCCTTTAGCATTGTCCAGGATAAGGCAGCACGAGCATCCTTACCCAATATTACTAGCTAGATTGCTAGCCTTCTAGATGTTTGATTATCCTGGTTTATCAAGCACTGTTAGCATATTTTAAACCACCAGCCTTTACTGCAGAAAAAAATAATGCCTGCAGAAAGGTGACTTCTGGCCTCATGGTTTGGTTGCACATTAAAATGGCTATTTTGCATATTTTCAATTTGAGACACTGAAGAGCTGCTACCACTTAAAGGACACAGCACTAAATTAGGATTAATTTCCTATTTGAGCTCAAGAACTCAAAGCCATCAGCCGCTTCTTGCTATTGCAATTTTTGTGCTAGTTGATGTTATTTTTGTCTTAATGTTTAACATCCACCTGAATTGTTCAATGTCCATTTTTATTTTCACAATCTTTCCCTCCCCACCCTCCACTTTCAGCACTTTCTATATATCTGAAAGTATTTTGGTCTGATTGATTCTAGACACTCTGTTTCTCTAAATTCAATCCTTATGTCTTATTCATTGTAAAATTTCCTCAGAAAAGTAAACACAATATGACATTAGAGTTCTGCCTTTCCAAATCCAATTCCACATAAGAAATCCAGGTTGCAGTTAGTCTCCTATTTTGACAGCCTGTTCTAATCTCTTACTATTTTAAGCAAGAGTGTTCAATTTCAGTTACTATTCAGCTACTATTGTTATGAAAGGAATAGGCATCTTGTTTGATTCTACGCTGCCCCAAGTCCCAATTTAGAAAGAAGACTGCTAAATCCTGTGAGATTTCAGTAATGGTGGTGTGTGAGAGCATCTTTTAGAAGTCCAGCAAAGATTTGGCAGCCATATATTGAGTGAAATATTGGGTGAAGTACTTTTTCAATATTGAAGATGAAGAATTATTACTGGTACTAAACAATGATGGTCAAAAGTTACCCATGAGATCCAGCGTGGTACCGCTGTTAAGATACTAGGCCCACATTTAACTCCACTTTTAACAAGCCAGTTTTATGCCAACCCTTTTGAGTTTTTAGGAAAAAGCCAGAGTATAAATAAAAAAAATAAATCTAATTTTGCTTGCTGATAATTCTCTTTCAGTACCTTTTAATATAAATCTTCTCATATAACTTAAAGCCTGATCCAGAAAATTCAAAATATTATTGTTGACTTTTAAGACAGGCACAAATTTGCTGACATATAAAGTTTTTCCTTTCTGATGAACACATCAGTATTTCTCCACTTCAACAATGTTACAATGTACGGACCTCAATATCTGCTATGTACTGATTGACATAAATCTTTATGGCTGTACTTCTGGATGAAGTGTGTAACATAAGAACAGATGTTGCTACTAGCTCTTTGAGAGCCTTCATTTCTGAGCCGTGACAAAACAATTGTGGTTGTACTGAGGAACTAATCGACCTATATAGGAGTCAAATCAGGTAACTAAGATGAATAATTTAGATAACTTTGACCTGTTAAAGGAGAAGGAGTCTGGGAGACTCATGGTGATTTTCAGATTTTAATCTACCTTGTTTATGAATGTAACATGATGACATGTTTTGTGGGAATCGGGACATTCCAGGCATGATGAGTATGGTAAAATCCTTCCACCATGACTTTTTGAATATCTATGTTTGAAGTCAGATATTAAACTGATAAGAACAGATACTACATATGAACTTAGCCAAAAGGCCAAGAAACAAGAAGAGGCAGTACAGTGGTTCAACAGTTAAGATGCCGGGCTTGTCAGATGGAAAGCCCTCAGCCCAGGTTCAAGATCTGAGGGCCACATGACAGGGTGAATTCCTGTCCTCACCCCAGCTCCTGCCAACCTAGCAGTTTGAACGCATGTAAATGCAAGTAGATAAATAGGTACCACTTTGCTGGGAAGGTTAACAGAGTTCCATGATGTCATGCTGGACACATGACCATGGAAATGTCTTTGGACAGTGCTGGCCCAATGGCCTTGAAACAGAGATGAGCATCATCCCCTGTGGTGGACAACAATTAGCGGAGTAAAATCTGTAGAGCCTTTTTTTCTTTTCTTTTTTTTTACAAATGTAAAAAGAACATACTTACATTGACATTACGAGTCCAGACATCTCTGATCCAGCCAGGATCTTTCATCAGTGGAATCTAAAATTCAAGATAAATATTTCGTTAAACACCATAGTGACATAGTAATTATTTAAAAGGGACAGCACTCTTATCTGTGGAAGTGTGAAGTTTTCCATCTCTACCACAGCTACATGTGCACCTCTTTATTAGTTTCCTTGTGAAAATCTATAGAAAGGGATATCCTAAGATGTCTGCCACACCTTTCAGCTCCTCTCTATGAGACCATTGAGTTGGTTGCAAATTTTTTTCAGCAAATTATTGAATGGCTTTCTACTTAGAACTCCAAAGTCACCTTCAACACTGATTTGAAGAATCTTGCTATTCAAAATATAGGGGGGAAGACCAGCAAAATTGTCTCCTTTCTCTACTTGACCAATAGGGGTGTCCCACCAGATTAAAAAAAAAAAGCAAATATCCTGAGCTGAAAGACTGGTGATTTTATTGCAGTAGAAATCAGTTTTGCTTACTTATGATGGAGCATCCCTATTTGGGCAATTTTCCATGTCTCTTGCAACCTCCTGTGCTTTTGAGAGTGATTCCTGAGAACTGGCAGATCTTTTAAACAATTGAGATATGGCACAGAAGGATGCTTTAGAAAGAAAAGAAAAGAAAAAACCAGAAGCAATGCAACGTCAGAAGTTTTATCTACTCATAATAAGCCAGTACCATGACATATCTGCATAAGCATGGACCTAAGGTTTTATTTTGCACCTGTGATAGTTCTATATTGATTGAGTCAACACAGCTGACTATTTGCAACTTTCCAAGATGATTTTTCTAAAGAGTTAATACTTAAAAATGCCTTTATATCACATGGATTGCCTTTCCATTTCACAAGGATCCCACCGCCATCCCATGTAGCCATTGAGTCCTCAATATATGACTTTAGATTAATGTATTTTTATATGGCTATACTTTCTACATTCATGACATTTTGATCCATCATTGTCATCCATACTGTGTCAACTACACTGTTTGCATAAAGAACAAAGTGTTGCCTTACATCTTGTACTAAATAGAGATTGAATCTGTCAGACCCAAGGCACCAAGAATGACATGAGAAATTACCTCAGAGAACTTTTTAGATCTCTACAGACTTTTACTTCAGAGAAGTTTTTATTGTTGTTCAACTGCAAACAGAATCTTGCCAGTTTAAAGCAGTTATCTGTATAACTATTAGATATATATAGTAGTCAATAAACAACTTGGGGGTGTCGGCCTACACCATCTTCCTACATACCAAGGATTCTGAGCTATGTTATGTCTTTGGTCCCTGAGAAAGAGCCCCTCCCTCCTGCAACTCTGGACTACACCCCATCATAACTTTTTTAATAAAGTTCTGTTGATATCCAGAAGCTGGGTGTACATGCATTTATTATTTTATATCTATACTATGAAATAGAGGAAAGAAAATGAGCCCTTTTAAACTATCATAAAATAGAATGAATTCTGGTTAAAAGTGCCGTTATCAATAATTTTTTGCAGAGGCTTCCAGGGCTGAATTATTACATGTTTATCCCACCTTTAGTACTTTATAAGTAACTTGGGATACGTAATCCTCCTTTCTCCCCTTATTTTCCCCACAACAAGAACCCCTGTGAGTTGAGCTGAGCTGAGAGAGAGTTGACTGGCTCAAAATCACCCAGCCAGCTTTCATGCCTATGGCGGAACTAGAACTCACAATTTCCTAATTTCTAGGCTTAGCCATTTCATATGTTGTTTTTTAATACTGGTGTAATAGTTTCACAATCTTCGAGGCAGCTGCTAATCTATATTCAAAAATAAGAGCCTTAAGTAAGCACAATGTGAAATTACTACCTTAATAGTGTACATACACTCAGGAAGTAATTTGATCTGAACATCCTTTAATTAACCATCCTACAGCAACACAGGACAGTATGAGAGACTACTGGGAGCCATTCTGCAGAACTATCAAGACTTGTACTAAAATATATAAGATAAAATACTGAATTAATATCAACAATTTGCAGAGATGGAAGTATCAATAGGACACCATAAAAGGCCAGAGGCTTGCAATCCTCAACTTACTACCATTTGTTTAATGACCGTTTGAAATTACAACAGCACTGAAAAAAATGATTTATGACCAGTTTTCTCACTTACGACTGTTGTAGCATTCCCACGATCATGTGATCAAAATTCAGAAGCCTGGTAACTGGCATGTATTTATGACAGTTGCAGTGTCCTGGGGTCATGTCACCACCATTTGTATCCTTCCCAGCCAACTTCTGGCAAGCAAAATCAATGGGGTAAGCCAAATTCACTGAATGGCTGCATGATTTATTTAACAACTGCTGCAATTCACTTAACAACTGTGGCAAAAAGGCCTTAAAACGGGGCAAAACTCACTTAACAATTGCCTTGCTTAGCATGGATACTTTGGGCTCAATTGTGGTTGTAAATCAAGACTATCTGTAATTGATAAAATAAATCATCTGCTGGCTAGCTGGGGACTTTTAAATATTCTGCAAAGACAGCCATTGCCTCCTTCCAGGGGAAGACAAATGAGGGGAAAGGAAACGAGAAAGTTCTTGGCTCTCTGGGAGCCTTGGCTGGGAAATATATTTTGTCTAACTAGGCCTAGAAATTTAAGCCCAATACCTAGAAATCCTGAGGGGATCGAAACCAGTAAGATAAATTTGGCAGGGAAAGTATAGACAGGTGTGTAAAGGATTTCTTATTTCTTCTGGGTGCTACTTGTGTTCTCTGGCATAGCATTAATCTGTATTCTTCCTTCCTCTGCCTGCCTTTATTGCTTACTCAAGTTAATGATAATTAGTTTTAATAGGCCGTTCCCAGCCTCGTGTAGCTTAAAAACAGATGACATATTTTTCTAAAACATATCCTTTGTTGCCTTCTTAAAATAAAGATCCTTTCTTTTCGGATTAATCCAGCACTGGTCTTTTCCTAGTATCATACATTCCAAAACCCTTTGGATTTGGCTATTTTGATTAAAAGGAAAAAATGGGCCATTTATTTGAGGACTTATTCCTGAGGAAAGCAGATTTCCAGTTCTCCCCGTTCAAGATCAGATCATCAGGTACTGTAACTCCCTTCCAGAGAGCAATACTTTCATCTAGGGGTACTTCTAAACTCAGTTGGGAGAGTTTAAGGATAGTGATTCAGGCATACGTTTGACAAGCTTGTGTTTGTGAAAAGATACCTACCTGCCTCTTCCGTACTACAGTGGATGAAAATTTTTGAATCCTATTGAGTCCATAAACCAAAATTGGTTTTGTTTTGTTTGTTTTGATGAGTTCCCAAACAATAATCACATCCAACGCTGCATTTCAGAATCAGCTAAGGTCAAGTAAGTGCTACCATTTAGCATATGCTTGGCTGATAAGTATGTATATATTATTTAAATAAAGTGACATGAGAGTTAATTTGATGTAGTGATTAAGACACCAGGCAAGAGTCCAGGAGATTGTGAATTCTAGTCCCACCTTAAGCATGAAAAACCAGCTGGGTGACTTTGGACCAGTGACACACACACACACACACACACACACACACTCTTTCTCTCTCTCTCTCAGCCCAACCCTTACAGGGTTGTTGTTGTTGTGGGGATGATAGGAGGAGGAAGAAGTGTTCATATGTTTGCCTCTTTGAGTTGTATATAAAAAAGGCAGGGTAAAAATCTAAAGAAAAAGCAACTGACCTAAGTCAAATTGTCATCTTCAAGCTAGCAGAGAGGTCTGCTTTATGCCCCTCTTGTACATATCTATAGATAACTCTGAATGTGAGACAGCCCATCTAGATTGAAGAATGTAAGTTATAAGATATACTGTGCTTCTCATATAATAAGGCCGGGTCTTTTTTTTTTCTTTTTTTTTTTGAGCCCTGAAAAAACAGCTAGGACGTCTTTTCGGGGGTGAATTAATTTCTTCCCCCCCCACGCACCAGCGCCGTCTCCAGCAACAGCATCTGAGTCGCTCCCGCTTTTCCCCCATCCCCGTAACAACAGGAAAAAAAGATCTTGAGGTGCCTGGGAGCGCCATGCGCTGTGTTTTGGTTTAATCCCGAGCGGCTGGGTGGGCGTGAGAAGAGCCGAGCGAGCGTCTCTGCTGCTGCTACCCTTGGTGCTCCAGCAAGTTACAGAGGTGGCTCCTCCACCCGAGAAGCGGCTGAAACGCTTCCACGGTTCCCGCCACTGCTGCTGCTGTTGTTGGAGACAGCGCTGGTGAGAGAGGGACAGCTGCAGCTCGGCCTGGGCGCTTGGAATGCAGGAACGGGCTGTGCACTGGGACTTTTGCAAACTTGCAGAGCCCGAGGCTAGAGCACCAAGGGTAACAGCAGCAGAGACACTTGCTCGGCTCTTCTCACGCCCACCCAGCCGCTCGGGATTAAATGCAGAGCGCAGCGCTCCCAGGTACCTCAAAATCTTTTTTTTTCCCCTGTTGTTATGGAGACGGGAGGAAAGCGGGAGCGACTCAGACGCTGTTGTTGGAGACGGCATTGGCGGGGAGAGGCGCAGGCACCGGTGGGAACCGTGGAAGCTATGGAGGCTTGAGAAGCGGCTGAAACGCTGCCGGACATCCACGCTGATGCCACCCGCCTGATGACCCGGGTAAAGGAGGGGTAAGGGAGCCCTCCGTGCTCCACCATGATTGGCTGTTAGGAGCGGCTGATGGTGAGGCGTAGCTGCCCGCGGGGCACTCCTAATGGCAAGTTCCCCCTGCCTTCCCCCACCAATTTTGAAAGGTTTTAAACTAGACCTAAATTTGGGGGGAGGGGCTTAATTTCATTTTATGCCTAGAAAACATGCTGGGTCTTCCTATTGGGGGGGGCGTATTGTTGGAGAAACACGATATTCAAATCAGCACTAATACCCCAAAGGGTTGACGTTCACTTTTTGTCCCAATATTTTCTTACAACTTCAGTACCATATTTATATACTGCTGATTCATTGATTCTTTGCTTATGTGCCTTCAAGTCAGTATTGATGCTTAGCAAGATAGACCTTCTCCAGGATGATCTGCCCCACTCTGGCCTTT